CCAGACCGACCCGTAATGACGACTAACGTTATCGGCGAAGCCCATAGTCGTCTCATCTACATTAGGGATAAGGATTCTGAGTCCCAGTTTTTAGTTAATACCTGAGCGGAAATCAGCTTCATTCTTGTACGCCAGGTGAGCCTCTTGCTTCTTTGTCGACAAGCCTCAGTGTCGCCAATGACACGCCAATATCCACCTACCGTCATCGGTCGCTTAACCTGGACCTAGGTCTTCGACGCACGTTCCGCTGGGTAATCACCATTGCTGCAGTCCCCCTTTGTCATCATAGACATTTACTTTCTCAGGTATTTCGACTTCTTGGTGGATTCGAAACTAAAAACGATAGCCGACACTTCAAAGAAGTTCAGTGTACTTGGCATCACCGCCGAAATCGCATCCATAACACACGTCTACGCCTTTCCCCAGACCTTGCCAGCTTACGCCAACCTCTTTTCTCAGTATTCCAGGCTCGTTCAGCTTTACCCGGAACAGCCTAAGTCAAGCACCACATACGGGCGAATGGCCTACATGTGTCATTCCGACTATCGCCCGAAAATATAGAGCTAGCTAGGGCGGAGTTCGATCAATGTTTGAACCTGGAATAATCCGCCCTTCCGGCATTCGTCGCTCCTCGCCCCTGCAAATGATCCCCAAGAAACCTGGTGACTGGCGTCCTTGCGGTGATTAACGCGCATTTAATCGTCTAACCGCCCCAGAAAAGTATCCCATACCACACATGCAGGACCTTACCAAACCTCTCAAGGTAAGAAGATGTTCAGCAAGATCGATCTGGTTCGCGAGTAGCACCAGATATATAGAGAAGAAAATGATATTCCTGAAACATCCGTTATCACTCCTTTCGGCTTGTTTGCGTTTTTAAGTATGCCACTTGGACTGTGCAACGCCGTACAAACCTTCCAACGCTTCATCCACGATGTCACTCGTGGACTAAACTTCGCTTGTTCCTACTTTGATGATATTTTAGTAGCCAGTTCATCGGAACAAGTGCACCTCCTGCAGCGCTTGACCCAACACGTTGTCACAGTCAACCAGACTAAGTGCGAACTAGGCAAACCAACGGTAGATTTCCTAGGCCACCTCGTCTCATCATCTGGTATCGAAGTCCTTCCTGAGTGAATCCAGGCAATCAAGGACTTCCCGGTTCCCACGGCGTTCAAGCACCTCAGTCGAGTTTGTGGTTTGGTCAACTACTATCGCCGCTTCATTCCGCGCTGCGCTCTGCTCATGCAGCCTCTGACCGACCTACTCGGAGGGAATGAACGTAAGTTCGCTTTCCCCGACACAGCACAGGCAGCCTTCGCCGAGCTCAAGGGTGCTATCTCCAACATAGCCCTCCCGCTCGTTCCGAATCGACTGTACCCCTTTCTACCACGATTGATGCCTTAGACGTCGCGATAGGAGCCGTCCTCCAACAACATGTTGGTGAGCAATGGTAACCCTTGGGCTCTTCTCTAAGCGCCTGCAGCCAGCGGAATCCCGCTACAGCGCGTTTGGCAGAGAACTGCTGGCCATTATCCTAGCGATACGTCACTTCCGGCAAACACTTGAAGACCGCGCTTTCACGGTCTTCACTGATCACAAGCCCCTAATCTTTGCCTTCAACTCTGCTTGTGACAAATACTCACCACGGGAAACAAGACACCTAGACTTCGTCACGCAGTTCACTGCTGACATAAACCATGTATCAGGTGTCGACAGTCACGTCGCCAACGCTGTCTTATGCGTTAACCTCACTCTCCAAGCTTTGCCTACCGTCGACCTTGCCGCCATGGCATCGGCTCAAGCTCAAGATGAAGACGTACAACGCACTCTGCAGTCCAATTTGCTGCACGTGCAATATGTTCCTTTCCAACCCACGGAAGGAACCATGCTCTGTGGCACTTCCATAGGTTGTTCTAGACTCTTCGTGACCGTCTCCTTCAGACGCACAGCCTTCGACGCACGGCACTCGCTATCACATCACGGTATCCGTGCATCTTTAAAACTGAGCACGGAAGGTTTCCTTTGGCCACGCGTAAACAAAGATGTTGCAGCTGGGTTGGCACCTGCCTTCACTGCCAGCGTTCCCAACTACATCGTCACACTTGCAGTCCTCTTGGTTCATTTCCTGCCCCGGACTTTCTGCTTTCGCATGTGCAATTAGAATTGGTAGATCCCTTTCCTCCGTAAGGCGGATTCGTACACATTCTTACATTTGTCGACCGCTTCACCAGATGGCCAGAAGCCCTTCCCGTAACCGACTGCACAGCTGAGTTGGTTAGCTGGGCCTACTTAGGTCTGTGGGTCCCGCACGATGGATGCCCATCCACCATTACAACGGACCGAGGAACGCCTTTTGAACCTTCACAATTCGATACGTACTGCAACTTTTTAGGCTGCCGCCACATTCATACCAGAGCTTATCCCCCAGCAGCCAACGGATTATTTTAACGGTTCCATAGACAGCTTAAAGCCCTGCCCTTCGCATCCTCCGACCCGAACTGGAGCGAAAACGTTTCGCTCCTACAATTAGACATTCGCAGCAGCATCAAAGCTGAATTGAAAAGTGCACCAGCAAAACCGGTTTACGGCACAGCGCTAACGTTGCCTGGAGCGTTCGTTTCACCTCCCGCATCGTCGGGTAAGCCTCCGTTTAACTTTGCGTCCTCCATACCTCAAAGCATGTGTTCACTACGCATGACCCCGCCCCATGAGCAGACTAGAGAAGTGCAAATGCACAGCGGACTCTACTTGCACTCACGTCTTCCTCCGCACTGACGCAGTTTGGCGCCCTTTCCAGCCTCCCTACACTGGCCCTTTCCGAGACTTGCAACGGACTGCGAATCCTTTCACTTTAGGCCGGAGTGATTATCGAACAACGGTATACACCGACCGCCTCAAAGTGCCTTTCTTTGAAGAACCACTTGCAACCCATCCTGATGTTATCACACAAACACCCGCGCCTGCGGTGACTTCTCCAGAACTGGATATTCCGAAACTGTCCCTTCCCTCGCCCCATCCCCAGGCAACCGACCGACGGGGCACATGTCAACCGTTTTCTATCTCCATTAACACGACATTTTCGCCGTTAGTGATAATCGTGTGCCTTGTTCACAAAGGTTTTACAAAGTCGACAAAAAACCCAAAACATTTTGAAACCTAAAAAGCTTATTTGCTTTTCTCACGCATGCAATGTACCCGCTCCGGCGTCAAGCCACTTCCATCTACCTTTGCCCAATCTCTCCGCTTTCTACCTTCCAGAAACTCAACCGCCGGAACTGCCAAGCCAACCCTCGGGTGACTAGACAAACGGCTCAACACCAACCCTGAGTGACTAGCCAGCCTACCGAAAGCCCCCTTCCTGACCCAAGGAGAAGTCAGTCGCCTTTGGCTGCAGACAGCCACGAACGGCTTGTTCCCCAAAAGCTTGGCTAGGCTTTGCTGAGGAGTACGCATGGAGTTCTTCGTGAAATGAGGACGCCTGGCTATCTTCGTGGGACGACGACCGTGGATAGAATTGCGGCGTGAGGAGTGACACTAACCAAACTCGCCATCGGGTCTGCAGCAAAGGGAAGATCCTGTCGGCATTTTTCTTGACTATCCAGTTATTTTTGAAGTCTTCTCGGCCCATCGATGATGCTCACTGGTCCACACGATCATCATCCCAGCGAACACTGCTACACACCACACATTGGAAGCTTCGCTCAAGCCACTGCAACCATTTGTACCCACCCTCACCTTCCGTTTTCCTCCACTAACAGCTCCATCGGAGGCTTCTATTCTTCACCCGTCTAGGGGAGGCCCTTGTAGTGTACCGGAAAACACGCTGGTTCAGTATTTCGTAACATTAGATTTCACGGTGGTTTTAACCTTCAAAACGTCCACTTGTTTTACTGACGGCACATCTGTCGACGCAAAGCTTTTGGTGTGTATCTTGCTACACCGTTTCTTCCTCTGGTTGTTCCGCTTCCTATTTTTGTAGCCTGCGCGATATACGTTGCGTTCAGTCGCCTCCAATTTCTATCCGGTCCCGTGTTTTATACGTCTCTTACGTGGCGTCGATTACCAACTAGTATCCTAGGCTGCACCCAACAAACTATAGATTCCGACGGCAGTCTCTTCTGTTATGATCGGCTAAGCGTTGCAACCACGCGAAGAAAGGCGTGCTGATAGCACCATGGCGAATTGGCGGAAGTGTGTGCAGACGGGATTAGTCCGAAACTGCGACTAATAGCAGATGGACGAGCTTATGCCGTGGCGCTCCCGGGAATGTATTGTTTGGCATACAGACATAATGTAGTAAGTCAGCTTAAAGCAATGCACCACGTATAAACGCAACTAATGATGCTGGAGTGGGTTCTAATTAAGTAGATCCCAATTGGCTCAACGTACAAAGAAGTCCCCAAGAATTAGGCAGTTCCTTCATCTTTTAAATTTTTAACTACTTCCAAAACGCAAGTCCCGTTAGTCTATGATGGCGTTATACACCACCACGACAATCAGGTGTTAGCCTCCGTCATGGACCCTGTTCACAGCATTTCGGGATCGCCTTCACTGGTAGTCTCGACAGTCGATAACTTGAAGTTTGATTTCCAGTAAAAGATAACAACGCCTTTTGCCTAAATCCTGCGGCGATCAGCCCGAAAATGCAGACCTCCTGGGATATGGGATTCGTCGTCAAGCTTGCCCGGGGATGTCCGGGACTCATTGAAAGACTGAAGGACTGGGCGAAGCCTTAGGGTAAATTGATGTAATATTTATCGATACCTAGGTATGAGCATGAACAATAGTAAAATTCTTGTTTTAATCATCCCAGCAGCTTGACCATCATTGCAATGACTATACTTGATTTAGGAGACCACATGATTACCAGAATGAGGACTCATTCTGTGATAGTCGCTCCGTACACAATTTAGCTTTAAATATTTGTTTGTTATTATGTTAAACCGTGGTGGCACATGAGCACTTTGTTATAAATAACTTCTTGGGTGAGGTCGTTTAAATAAGTTATGTGGAGGTCACGTGGAAACAGTCAGTTGGGAGGCAAATCAAAGGGCAAAAATCGCGTTCGGTTAAATGTCCGAGAGTGGATACGGTTCCCGAGGGGAGTACGTAGCAAACGTAAGTACTGGCTGTACACAACAGCTGGTATCAGTTAACAAAACATGCAACACTTCTTGTGTCTGTATTTATTGATATATACCATTCAGCAATTCACTTGGAGATTGTGCACAGACAGGCTGTTCACATCGACGTGCTGTGTGCTATGATGCCCGAACCTGCTGTATTAAATTGCATTTATCTTGCTATAATATATGTGGACGTGTTTGGATATATGCTTCGTGGGTTATTTCATTCCTGTTATCAAGCTTTTAAACCAAACTATTTTCATTCCTACTCCTACATAAAACCGTTGTCTACCATAGTGTTATGAGTGGACGTATTATGGTAAATAGGCAAATATCATGCAATGCTAAAGTTCAATAATATATTAACTTTTTGGGATACATTTTTGCTAAAGAGTTGTTGGCGTCCAGTGTGCATCAATTAGTGAGCAATCCTAACTTAGCATTTGCTGAATTATCAGCTGTGAAGAAATTTCAGTAGTCTCGCAGCATTTCGCCAAGGCTGGTGCGTGTCATTATTTTTGGGTGAAAACACCATCACTTTTCTGGACATTCTGGACAGTACTACTTGCTATGTACTTGACTATCCTACCAATGAAACCAGATGAATGGGTATTCAGCTGGCTTTCACTTGTTACTACCCTCTTGTCCGCAGTACTTGGTATCTTTAATCTGTTGAACTAATCTCTACTTTGTGGCACGTTGCTGTGTAGATGAGGTAGATGTATTAGATTTAATTTACACAGGATCCTATTGGATGACCGCTTCTTCCTTCCGTGACTTACCAGCACAATACATTTTCGCGAACTGATGTAGATAGGGAAAAAGAACCAAGTGAACTCTATGGAAGTTAAGGTTAATGTAACGGGTGATGTCGCTGATTAATCTGACTAGATGACTATTTGTGATACTGCTTGATCTACAGTCCTGTGGCCTGCGCTTCAGTGTCACGAAGTTAGCCCAACACCACCGACTAGTCTGTTAGTACACGGAATCCTATTTTAGCTTCAGAGCCAAAGGGGACTTGAACATATGAACATATACGTTATTGAACGTTGTAAATAATGTTTATGACAGTAATTTTTCACAACTGGATCTGTGTTCTGGTGATCATCAGCTTCCGGAAAATTGGTGACTCTTTAACTTATTCCAACCACCTAGTTAAATCGGTTGCCGATTTACGTCGCTGTCTACAGATTTTAGTCAGATCGAGTAAACTCAACTCCAGCCCGCCGTTGGGATGGGTGCTTGAAAACCCTGGAAGTAGTTTTTGAGTCGCTAATCTAGTCGAGGGGATGCTCAGCATCGCGACTACAAGACGACCACGTTGTGCTTTAAGCGTTTTGTTGGCCGCCGAACAAATTTTTATACGAACTTTATGTAATCCTATTTTTCTGCGCTTTCTGCTTTTACTTCATGGTTCCAGTCATTCGTATTCTTGGCGACGTATATACATTTGTGAGCAGTGGGAATGCTTGCTGATACATTACTTCGAGGAGCTTAGAAGTCATCGCTATGAAAAGATCAGTATTTTTTAAATTTGCTGACTTATACGGTTGCTATTAGGCGTACATATGACTCAGTCATCAGGTCAATGAATAGCGGCTTATTTGTTTGTGGCATGTTACGTGTATATTACGTGCTTTTTTCTCGGACCGAATGACGCATTTTGTGCTTTTCATGATATCACTACGTATTTAATAACGCCACTATTAAAGGCAGGCAACGACATAAGGCGACCGTTCACCAGTTGTTTTCTAGTTATATACAAAATATTACCTCTGACAAGTTGCATACAGTAAAATATGTTCTTATCCCTCATTACCAAACAAGTACATTGGAACCATACATACCAACAAACCTTAAGGTAAAGGTTGTTGTAAACCGTATTATTAAAAACTTAACGAAGGAAAAGTTGACACGGACTAGTTGTTTCGATAAGCGCACTTTAGCCATTTTTGAAAGATAGCATCTGCATTTAAGTTTCATACACAGCTAGAGTTCTCGTACTGTGACAACAAATGGTGGTCACAGCTTCAGATTTTTGTTGTTTCTTTCTACGCAATCAAAGAAGGTGAATGAAGCTCATACTTAGCCAATGAATTTTGGGTTGGGCACTGCGATCTAGTCATTAAGAAATAAACGTAGGTAAACAAAGTATGTTCTTGATTTTTGAGTATTTATATATAAACTTAAAAATCAGGAAGGCAATTTGTTTATCTACCTTCCTTTCTTTATGCCTGCTTTTTATATCTATTTTCACAACTGGCGTAACATAGTATGCGTCTGCTTAAATGGCTTGCGTTACATTTCGATGCTATTTGGTCCAGAGTTCGTCATTGTTCGTTTTTTTAATTATAAACGTTTTGTTTGCTCACTAACTGCAGTTATGACGGATCAGCAAGATACAGCTAGACTGTTGGTTGTCCGTATAGTTATCAACAATGTCGCTTAAATACTACAGACGGCTGGGTAGAACACTTTCGTTTGAACTTACAACCAGGCTTCCATTGGGTCCATTGTTGTTGATAAGCATGATCCGTCCAAGCTTCTTGTGGTGGATCCATATTGCCGTTCCCCCATCATTGCGGCATGCTCAAACATAGCTGCACATTCTATTGGAATCGCATCCTTGTTTTTAAAGTTACTTCGTATTGTGAGCTTGTTATTTTCGAAATCCTTAAAAATCTATTCATCGATTATTTTGCAGTAAAAGTGTCATCCAGGTTTGATTACTAGTTCCACTGGCTCGCTGAACAATCTCGTGGTGCTAGCTGGGCGGTTCGGGAATTTCCCCTTCTGGTGAATTGTTCGGCGGCATTGCTCCAGGACAGAGTGGGTTGTCGCCTGGCAAGCCTTCTCTTTATAAAAACTCACAAATATCCGTTTAATAACACATTGACGTGCCGTATGTGACTCTTTACTAAATAAAATCACTGCCCCTTGTCGTCTTTGAAGACACTGTCCACCGGCAAGCAGTCCGAGCATCGGATCTTGTCTCTGACTTTAGAATTGTTGGACTCCTGGCATGGCTTGTCGTCATCCGAAAGGCGAATGAACTGAGTGTCTAATCGCCGGCTCCCAACGGGTGCGACTCCCTTATCTCCTCCTGCTACCTTGTGGGTTAGGTCCTTCGGATAAAGCTTCGGGGCGGTGGTCCCCAAAGACAACCTACCTACCTCGGCCTAGCCAGCCGGGTAGTATCTCGTCCACTGACGAACCATAAACTTACAACTACAACGATTCACACGCTCTCCTGCTGTTACGATGTTATTCAGTCCTGCTACTATGCCAACTTCACAAACACACGCCACCGTTTTTTTTACCCTTACCTTGTACCATTCACACTCATTTTTACCTGATTCTTCTACGGCGAACAACCTCTCTCCCACCGATGAACCTCTTTCCGTGCCATCTGCCAACTCAACCACAAGTTACTCAACTGAGAGCTGTCGGCCGTGAAGTCTCCCAGCTTCGCTCCTGCAACCCGGAACGCAGTTCAGACTTACAGCCTTCAACTTACGCACACTACTGCGGATCGTTCAGCAAGCTGGACTTGCACGCAGGCTAGAGACCCTTGGAATCGATGTCTGCTGCCTGAGTGAAACGTGACTCCAGGACTGCAACTCAGTCTACCAGTTGGCATCACCGCTCCACCCACGCACCCGCTTCCATCTCCGCCTCTCTGCTGACGCCGAGTCTGCCGCAGCTGGACAAGCTGGTGTTGGAATCGCCCTCAGTGTTAGAGCCGAGGCTGCTCTGATCGTTTGGATTCCGATCAATGGTCGTCTTTGTGTGAAGAGACTCCATGACACTTGTAAAGTTATTAGACGTCGAGTCAAAAAGCGTGCTTTCTTCGTGATCTCTGCCTACGCGCCCACTGACTGTAGTTCAGACACAGTTAAGGACCAGTACTACCAGAACCATCAAGAGCTGCTCCTAAGGGCTCCTAAAGAGACACCGTTGTTTTGGCAAGAGACTTCAACGCGCGTGCCGGTTGGCTGCTGCCATGCGAGCGCCTACGGAGAGAATGCTCAGTCTGTGCTGAGCAGCAGCTTAACCTGTCAAGCACAAGCTTTCGTCATCCTGGACGCCAGTACGTCATCTAGCACTCTCCATCATCAACCCAGTGCTGGTCACAGATTGACCACATCAAGGCAAGGCAAGTCAATAGAAGCGTTATGCACCCGGATGGATGCATTTTTAGCATTTTACACTATATACCACAAATGTGATATTAACATCATCAGAAGTGATGAGAATTTTACTAGTTTGAAAACAGAAAGGGTAAAGAGTGTACAGAGATCAGTTAAGTAAACAGTCTCGATTCTTTGAGCAACGAGCGCAGATTGATTGAACAAAGTATAAGATACTTCTTCCAGTTGACGAGGCCAACCATTTTACAACCTTTACTGATAGCTCTTTTCAACTGGATAAAAGCAGCTGACCACGAGTTTTACGCAGTGTCTCAGCCACTTTTCAGAATCGATGAGGTAAAGCGACCACCACGACCTTGAAAGTATCCAGCCAACGAAAATGTCAAATGATTCAAATAAAAAGGATACGTTTTTAGCAAAAAGTGCAAAAAACGATGTTTTGGGAGAGAGCGGCAGCGGCCAAATTAAAGGCCCCGTCATAAGTCGCAGGTGGTGCGGCAGTGTACGCGACTGCCGATCATTTTAACAAACATACGTCGATACCGATCATGCACTGGTATGTGCGACCGGTTACATGCGTTTTGCTGGTTCACCTAGGTCCAAACAGACCCGACTGTGCACTTACAAGTTGGAGGACCAATGGTGAAGAAGGAGTATCAACAAGGGCTCCCTAGAAATATCGCCGTCTCGCCCCCTCTGATGTTGAGCAACACTGGTCAAGTCTGCAACAAGCCATGCTGTCGACTGGTTTGTCTAGCTGTGGCCTTGCTTGCTCCACTTCCGAAAGCTGGATCTCGGGAAGATCCTCGGAATTTCTGAATCGCCGACAGACGGTGCA